AAATCGTTAACCTAGCTTAGCACAAACTGCTAGCCAACCTACATCCTAAACTGAAAAAATAAACATTACGTGGTTGAACGCCAGGAATATAAATCTGGGTATTGTTTGGGAATTTTCAAAAAAGCCTGGTCTTACTTAAAAGATATCTGCAGGAATGGAGGATTCTTAGTGTGTGTGTGTGTGTGTTTAGTTTTAATCAGTGTTCAAACAATCAAAGCAAAAATGACTTGCGTAGCCAATATCACTATTTATAAACTTGCCTCAGGGGTTTACCATCTCTCCAGGATACAACAACATTGCAGGTTCAGAGAAATATCTAACGTGGTGAAACAAAGATGCTGACCAACCTTCATTTGTTCCCATTATACCAACAGATAACCTTTTGACCTACCCTCCTCCTAACTGACCTATATACCAACACACCACCATACCTACCGATCTACCTACTAACCAGTCTATCTAGCAGGTTTCTGCCAACAGACATTCCCTAAAAAACACTTATTTACCTCCTAGAGATGCTTGGATCGACTAGTAATCCACATGTACCTGAAGAAATTATGTTTTTCAATTTAGAGACCCCACTGCTGATGACATATTTCTCTTAATTGGTCTGGTTTTGTTTTAGTGCGATACGATGATGCTTTTATTGTCAGTTAAAGTCTGAACATTTTCTGGCATCACAGCAGATCCATTAGCAACATCAACTGGGACAAATATTAAAGACAGGTTATCTATCTGACAATTACCCAAAGTGACTTTCACACACCTCTTCGGAGACATGCCTGCGGGAAAATTGCCGTTAAGTGTCTTGCCCAAGGACACTTTGACATGTTGATTGCAGAGGCTGGGGATCGAACCGCTGACTCTCTGATTGAAAGACACCCACAGCCAAAAAATAAGATTGGTTTCACAAATCAGATTAACGTAGAAGGACAATAGTTGCAAATGAATGCCATTCTTGACTGCCGAACAACTCTTGAAAGAAATGACAGATGATACAAAAAATGCCCTCCAGATTTCAATGATTACCGCTGTGGTTAAACTACGATACCCACCTACTACTTGCTGACCTACATACTTACAGACTGAAACATGTACTTACCTCCGTACCTCCTGACTGATTCGAACCTACCTGCAATAAATCATACTCAACGATACGATACATTTGTTTTGGCCTCCATCCTGCGGAAAAAAATCATAAATACAACCATAGTACACGATAAAAGACAATAGTACATTCACACATGATTTACACTACATGTACACAGTTTTGCACATATACAAACACTGACAATTACGACCTATTGCACAAACCCCTTGGCTTACATTTCAACTATACATTACAATCATTACAGTACATTAATTATCTATCTTTCTGTATTACAACACAGCTACCTATCAACTACTGTAACTCATCTAACTACCAATCTTCTGCCCTGCCTACCATAATAAATGTATGTTAAATGTACTAAAGCAAAAAAAAGCTCACCAACAGACATATCTGCCTAGCTACCAAACTACAGGTTGGCCAGCTGGTCCATTGTCCTACAAATCTTTTGACCTTGAAAGATCAGACTGAATGACTGAGCAGCTAACCATATTATATACATATTTAACTATAAATAAACAAGATGTGATATTTATCTCAGTAACTCTAACAGGAAGCTTGACGTGTTGCTATTGTAGGGATTCTGGGTAATGTAGTTTGGCCAGACTGCCAACAGACGGGAGAATAAACAAGATTGACTGATGGTCTGAACAGAAGAAAATCAGTTTAATCGCCGAGACTGTGGTTATTTATAGACACAGACACACACACACACACACACACACACACACACACACACACACACACACACACACACACACACACACACACACACACACACACACACACACACACACACACACACAAATGCCCACACACCATCTGCTCTAAATTAGCCTGTTGATGTTTTCCCATGACCTCTCCCATCGTGTTCACATCTGCACACACACACACACACACACACACACACACACACACACACACACACACACACACACACACACACACACACACACACGCGCGCACACACACACGCACACACACCACACCACACCACACCACACCACACACACACACACACACAGAGCTACTGTGTCGTCAACTGTTGATATTAATGGTTTATTTTGTTGGTTATTCTATTTTGCGTTTTTTAAAGACGACATCCAACTATTTTCAGATCAATAAACAATGAATTAGATGCCTTATTGAAAAAGACACCAATTGACCAATCAGATCGTCGTATCCTGAGATGCTGAGGTCAGAGGTCGTCTTTTGCCTCTGAGAAACAGGATATTGATTGGTTGCAGAACATCTTAAGAGTGTTTGGAGTTTAAAGAGAATCACAAAGGTCAGATCGGATCCTCTCATTATTGACACAAAATGCTGATTTTTAAAAAGATGGCTCACAGGATTGTGGGTACAGGGCGGTGCGATGAATAATCTATACGTTTATCCACAGCAGGTGTTATCGTATTGGCGATCGGACAGGTTTCTGATCCATCATGAATAATCAATGAGTGTCAGAGGAGAGAGAAATCAGCGACTCAGCAAAAAACAGGAATCCCCTCCCCCGTCATTATGTTAATGTCGAGACAAGGATAAACCCGGCGACCCCGTAACGTCACGGAAAATGTAGGTGGTTACTGTAGCAACACAGCTGAGATGTTGAGGTGATTTTGTAGTGAAGCTAGTCCAGTGACAAATATCATTGTTAGTTTTAAGCATATTAAGTCCAAATATGTTTATTTTGTTGCTGTTTTAGTTGTCCAAAAGGCTGGCACTAGTCTTACCTTATTATGTGTCATTCTGGCAGAGACAATGATTAGGTCTTTGTTTATTTCCAGGGAGTTGGAAACTGTACATTGGCCATTTTGCAAGAGGCATGCTACATGTGTAGTTTTTTGAAGATACTGGGGTTTCTAAGTTTGTTAAATATACTTAAATATACATATTTTCATGCCATTTTTTCTAACACAGACATTGACATAACATGGAGTGGATACACGTTCACATTTTTTAAAATATTTAGTTTAATGACAATAAACATATTTTATTTACGTGGCGAGAAGTAGAGAACAGAACAAATTATGTAGTAAACATTGACCGCAATGCAAATTAGAACATCTTACTGCATTTTTCATATATATATATTCTTTATTTTGATATGTCAAATACATCTACAGTACTTAAAGGCTAATTCAAATGGTTTTACATTTATTTTGGAGGTAGAGGTATTCAATTCAAAAGGCAATAAATTGGTAGTAAAATCAATAATTAATATTAATGTTTAATATTCATTAGACATCATTGATTTGGCTTCAAGCTGGTACTGGTGTATTGATAATGTGCAACATGAGTATTAAACCCGTTTCAAAGTCCCTTTTTGCTCGATTTGGCCTTGCAGCTGTTGATCTGATCCAAAGCAAAAATGTCTGTAGTTTTGAATCTGATATTGTTGTTTTAAATTATTCCTTTTGGCCAATCAGGTGACAGGAAGCATCAGATTCAACCAATGAGCTTCAGCCCTAACCACAAACATCTCTCTCTCTCTCTGTGTGTGTGTGTGTGTGTGTGTGTGTGTGTGTGTGTGTGTGTGTGTGTGTGTGTGTGTGTGTGTGTGTGTGTGTGTGTGTGTGTGTGTGTGTGTGTGTGTGTGTGTGTGTGTGTGTGTGTGTGTGTGTGTGTGTGTGTTTCCTCCATGTGGAGTTTATTTATGTCCAGCTGCAGCCAGAGACCTCATATGGAAGCTATTAGTGTGTGTGTGTGGTGTGTGTGTGTGGTGGTGTGTGTGTGTGTGTGTGTGTGTGTGTGTGTGTGTGTGTGTGTGTGTGTGTGTGTGTGTGTGTGTGTGTGGTGTGTGTGTGTGTGTGTGGGTGTGTGTGTTGTGTGTGTGTGTGTGTGTGTGTGTGTGTGTGTGTGTGTGTGTGTGTGTGGGGTGGGTGGGTGGGTGTGTGTGAACATCCGGTCTGTCTGTGTCTAACAACTTTATTTATAATACTGATTAGAGTAGAACTAAGGGAATGCCACAAAAAGTAATTTCTGTACATTTTCGTCCTCAATTTCTTTTTGAAATATTTCCTTGCGGTCAAAACTCCCCTAGTGGTCAAATATGTATCAAGTACTGCGTTCAGACCTTTGTTTTTACAATATTAAATATTCCTTTTATCAATGCTTATTTCTGTCCTGATTTGTGGAAGTGGATTTGTTTATGTTGAACCTTAAACATGGAGGACAAGGATATATTGTGTTATTTGATAAGAGAAACACTACTGTAGAGATGTGATTGGCTGTGATTTGTCGATCGACTGAATACAATAGCGAGTATTTTGATTTTCAATTCATGGTTGAGATCATTTTCAATGCAAACATGGCAGAAATGCAGTTTTCAGTCCCTCAAATATCTAGATGACTGGGTTTATATCAATTTAAAGTATTTATCTTAGAGTATCTGACTAAAGAAGAATATATTTAATAACATCATCTTGGGCTTACTGAGATGGACTATCTTTTTTACTATTTTCTAACATTTTGTGGACCAAACAATAAACATACATTCATAAAATAATAAGCAGATTATTAACATAATGGTTCACAGGTTCTAAATGTTTGCTTAACATAATTACTAAATACATTTGGATTGTGAAGTCAACATTTTGAGAAAGGAAGTCCGACATCTTGACTAACAGTAATTTCTTCCTTTTGGTTTCCGACTTTAGAAGTTCTCAGATTCATGTTTTTTTCCTTTTTCCTTTAACAACTCAACATGGACATTTCCTCAGGATTGCGATTAACTGCCTCAGTGATGAAAAAAAAGCAGCAATAATGGATATAATCATTTGCTGCAGGCCTAAATGTTTGTTTGTTTTGTCATCTTAATCAAAAGGCTTTTATTTTGGCGGTTTGTGGGCGTGGCCTTTATACCATGTGACTCATTATGGCTCCTCCCCCTCAGGTCCCTCCTCCTCCTCCAGTCCCAGTCTGCTGGCTAAAGGTCTCTCTCTGGAGACGTCCTGCGCTCCGTGCGGCCACCAGGGGGCGCTGGACGCCGACGCTCCCCAGCAGCTGAGCTCCGACCCGGGGCCCAGCTCCTTCTCCTCTGACCCCGCCTCCCTGGAGCGAGGGGCGGAGCTAACAGTGCGCCGCGGCTCCGCTAACGGGCTCCTGCTGGTCAATGACAGGGGGCCTCCGGAGCTACCAGCTACCACAATAACACCAACGAGCAAGAGCAGGCCGCCGCTGCCCGGACCCAAACCTCAGGGTAACAACCTCTATTGAAATTTAAATATTATAATAATAATAATCTTTATTTTGTATAGTACCTTTCATACAATAAGTGCAGTTATCACACAGAATAAAGTTACCAGTAAAAGACATAAATACAAACTAAAAATAGCATAGAGACATTTAGATTAAAGGAAATGATGAAATTGTGCATTAAAAGGAGGATAGTGCAAATTCAACACACAATCAGGTTAAAATACATCGTAATGCATTGAGAAAGTGCAGCAGAGAGCAGGAGTTTGCTTCCTAATATTGACGTTTTTTACCTTTTATTGCTACAACATTTTATTTTGATACTCAGATTATGTTAAAAATGTTTTACCGGTAACTAGTAAAGTAACCCTCCCAACCCTGGACACTAATTGAGCTGTTTTTCCGCCCTCCACAGTCCCCCCGAAGCCCCCCCACCTCCAGCAGCAGGCGGGGGTGTCGAGGCCCCGCCCCCGGGTCCCAGATAAGCCACTCCCCCCTCCCCCGCCCTGCAGGCCCCTCCCTGCAGACCCTCGGGGGGGCAGGTCTCCGCCCTGTCGCTCTGATGGCACCGACTCCCCCAACTGTGTCCTGTCACTCATCGAGAAGTTTGAGCGGTGAGTTCTGATTGGTTCTTAAAGGTCCCCTATTATACTCTTTTTCATCAATATATTATAGGTCTCAGATATATACAAAACATGTCTCTGAAGTGTTTGGCTCCAAACACCAAACAGATCATTGCAGCATCCCATAATCCACTCTGTTTCAGCCCTGTTTCAAAAGTGCTGATTCTGTGTCTGTAGCTTTAAATGCTAATGAGCTGCTGCTCCCCACGCCCCTCTGAGAGATAATTGGTTTAAAAAAACTCAATGGTGCTCTAGGAGGAGATTCAGGTGATAAGGTGTGTGGGGGGGGGGGGGTTACCTTGGTTGGTGATTGGCTAATGGTTACACAAGCTAAAACATCGTTATGACATCATAAAGTGTCCAAAATCTGATCAGCTCATTTTCAGACAGGTTTTTATATAAATGGATCAGGACAAAAAGAGAGAGAATCTTTTTCCTGAAACTTTCAGAGTCTCTTTACACAGAGGGGACACATGTTGATGTAGAAGAGACATGAAGAAGAGGGGACACATGTTGATGTAGAAGAGACATGAAGAAGAGGGGACACATGTTGATGTAGAAGAGACATGAAGAAGAGGGGACACGTGTTGATGTAGAAGAGACATGAAGAAGAGGGGACACATGTTGATGTAGAAGAGACATGAAGAAGAGGGGACACGTGTTGATGTAGAAGAGACATGAAGAAGAGGGGACACATGTTGATGTAGAAGAGACATGAAGAAGTGGGGACACATGTTGATGTAGAAGAGACATGAAGAAGAGGGGACACATGTTGATGTAGAAGAGACATGAAGAAGAGGGGACACGTGTTGATGTAGAAGAGACATGAAGAAGAGGGGACACATGTTGATGTAGAAGAGACATGAAGAAGAGGGGACACATGTTGATGTAGAAGAGACATGAAGAAGAGGGGACACGTGTTGATGTAGAAGAGACATGAAGAAGAGGGGACACATGTTGATGTAGAAGAGACATGAAGAAGAGGGGACACGTGTTGATGTAGAAGAGACATGAAGAAGAGGGGACACATGTTGATGTAGAAGAGACATGAAGAAGTGGGGACACATGTTGATGTAGAAGAGACATGAAGAAGAGGGGACACATGTTGATGTAGAAGAGACATGAAGAAGAGGGGACACGTGTTGATGTAGAAGAGACATGAAGAAGAGGGGACACATGTTGATGTAGAAGAGACATGAAGAAGAGGGGACACATGTTGATGTAGAAGAGACATGAAGAAGAGGGGACACGTGTTGATGTAGAAGAGACATGAAGAAGAGGGGACACATGTTGATGTAGAAGAGACATGAAGAAGAGGGGACACGTGTTGATGTAGAAGAGACATGAAGAAGAGGGGACACATGTTGATGTAGAAGAGACATGAAGAAGAGGGGACACATGTTGATGTAGAAGAGACATGAAGAAGAGGGGGACACATGTTGATGTAGAAGAGACATGAAGAAGAGGGGACACATGTTGATGTAGAAGAGACATGAAGAAGAGGGGACACATGTTGATGTAGAAGAGACATGAAGAAGAGGGGACACATGTTGATGTAGAAGAGACATTAAGAAGAGGGGACACATGTTGATGTAGAAGAGACATGAAGAAGTGGATTTTGCATAATAGGGAGTTTTTATAGATTTTTTGGGATTTCTTCTTAATGAAATTAACTCTTCTGTGTGTGTGTGTGTGTGTGTGTGTGTGTGTGTGTGTGTGTGTGTGTGTGTGTGTGTGTGTGTGTGTGTGTGTGTGTGTTGTGTGTGTGTGTGTGTGTGTGTGTGTGTGTGTGTGTGTGTGTGTGTGTGTGTGTGTGTGTGTGTGTGTGTGTGTGTGTGTGTGTGTGTGTGTGTGTGTGTGTGTGTGTGTGTGTGTGTGTGTGTGTGTGTGTGTGTGTGTGTGTGTGTGTGTGTGTGTGTGTGTGTGTGTGTGTGTGTAGTGAGCAGATAATCGTGGTTCCTGACATCACCGGGGGGGCTCTGTGTCCCCGCCTGCCGGACACCTCCTCCTCCTCTTCCTCACGTCCTTCATCACCACCGTCCTCCTCACCTGCGGCCCCTCCCCCACCTGAAAAGGAACCGCCCTCTGAGGTCAAAGGTCACGATGACATCACACTGGGGGGAGAGGCTGAAGAAGAGGAGGAGGAGGGAGACGCCGACCTGCACGATGAAGACGACGATGACGACGATGAAGAGTTGGCGGCGGCGTGTCGTGAGGACGTCCATCAGAAGCGTCTCTCCATGGAGTCGGGTTACAGCGCCTCGGAGAAACACCTGGAGGACGACGTGGTTGCCGTGGAGATGAGGGAGCAACAGCCGGCTCAGCTCGACCAATCAGAGCTCCCCTCAGAGCGCTTGTCCCTCCCCTCCTCACAGACAGAGGGAAAACTGGCCAATCGGGACAGCGGCATCGACAGCATCAGTTCGCCGTCGCACAGCGAAGAGCTCTGTTTCGCTGGAGTGGACGATGGGGGCGTGGCCTATCCCTGTAGCCCCGCCCTCTTGCCCCGCCTCTCAAGCTCCTCCTCTTACGCGGGGGAGGGGGAGGAGGGGGAGGCGAGGGGCGGAGCCAGGAGGAGGCGGGACTTCTCTGAGGAGGGAGACAGCGACCTGGAGGAGGAGGAGGAGGGCGAGCTGACTCTGGTGCTGCCCCCCCCCAAAACAGACAGACAGGACTCTGTGGAGGTGAGACAGGAAGTGAGACCAGACCTTTTGTTCACCAAACAAGTACGTGTTGAGACTACAGATCCACCAACAAGTGTCCGAAATATAATGTGACATTTCACTCAGAATCACAATCAGATTCATTCCAATGCAGTTTTACACTTACAAGGAATTTGCTTTAGGGTCTAATGGCGCATAGACAAAAAAAAGTTGTCAAAAATAAGCACAATATTTCAAATACTCTAATTTCTTCGCAGAGATACAGTAAATGGAAATAGTTCATGATGTCCAGAAAGAATAATTGCTTGTTTTTTTTTACTATTAGAAAAACAAGCCAAGTGCCATGTAGTCCAATTATTATTATAACATATATGTGTGTTATAGACCAGTGATTCTCAAATGGGGGTACGCGGACCCCTAGGGGTACGTTGGGGTACTGCGGGGGGTACGTGAGATTAAAAATAAATAAAAAGATTAATTAAAAAAATACCATGCATGATTACATAAATAATCTTAGTACAATAAGTTAAATAGAAAACACAATTTTATATAAAATATTCCTATAACCACTAAGGGGGTCCTCATATAAACGTGTCAAATTTGTGTATTGTAGTTAATAGTTTTTCATAATATATCATTTTGTTCATTTTGTTTGGTCATTGGTTACTTCAATTGAAAAACTCCTTGGAAAAATCAGTTTTAATTTGTTTTCGTGCATATAGATGAAAATATCCTTAGTTTGTTTAACTGTGAAGGAGTTAATAAATCAAACACTGATGGAACATCACTATATTGTAATTATTTATATAGGCTTTTTCTATCAAAAATGTCCGGGGTCGGTCAGGGGGTACTTGGCTGAGAAAATGTTTCAAAGGGGGTACATTACTGAACAATGATATAGACAAGGCAGACATCTGTAAGAATAATTCTTCCAACACTCAGAAAGCATTCTAGATGAACAAATAGCACTTCATAGCAAGTTACATTTTGAATGCTTGACTTTTACTTCTGAATAATCCACACATTCTGGCAGTTTTCCCGTTGTTCCTGCAGATGTTTCACTTCTCCCTCTCTCTTGTCTCTCTCTCGTTGTGCAGCTGTCGGTCCAGCAGAGGGTCTTTAACATCGCCAACGAGCTGCTGCACACAGAGATCGGCTACGTCTCCAAACTCCACCTCCTGGACCAGGTGAGTTCACGGACTGTGTTCACATGCTCTCTGGCATCCTGTCTATCTGTGCATGTTAATATCTGATGGTTTAACTTTAGAGAAATGTGGATACTTAGCTGCTACTTACCACACCACCACGTCACTTGTAACTCTGCTTTCGGAGGTGTGTGACGCAGTGGGTTGTGCGTTGGTGTTGGGATCAGGGGGGTCACAGGTTCAAACCCCACTGCAGTCAGCATGTCGTTGTGTCCCTGAGACACTTCACCCCAAATTGCTCCTGTAGGGATTGCCCACAGTATTGAGTATGTAAGTCGCTTTGGATAAAAGCGTCTAACAAGTGACATGTGATGTAATGTAATGCTTTCGGGAACTATATTTGATTAACAAAACGTTTGGCGATAGAATAAAAAGACAGGGCCAGAAACAGCCACGGTTGGAGCTTTGACCATGCTTATCGTACTTAAAATCGATGAGGGAAAGAAATGCTATAGCTCTTACATATGGCTAATCTTGGGGTTTGATTCTGTCAGATATTATGGGTTCTCCTGTCTTTGACATTTTAGATACTTATATTGCTTAAAATTGTATATAGTCTTGTCTGGCATTTATTTGCACCTGTTTCACTTTTTTGATTCATACATTTATTTCGAACAAGTAAAATAAATAATTACAAAACAAAACAAATGTTGCAGTGCATAGTCATGTAAGATAAATCAAAACAAAAAATTACATTTACAACAACAACAACAACAACAACATTAGCAACATAAACAGTGCCACATCTAGTGTTCGAAAAGGAGTGAGAAGAAGTATAACTTATTTAATATCACCCCCTTGTCCCTAAATGATTTATTTATAATCTATAATCTGCAATAATTATCATTATTATTCATTATTATTGTTATTATTATTATTAATCTGCTTTACCTGTTGATTGACATATATACATACACACATACACTGATATACATATATGCACACATACATATACACACCTACATACTCACACATATACACATACACATAGTCAAACACCTTCCCCACCTTCCCCTGTACCTCGAGAAAATAATTTGAACTGGTTATTGTCTGGACATCGCTTGAGCTCCACATTCACTTAAAATGTTAAACTTTTTTAGTTTTGAAGTGTTGTCTCATGTGAGAAGGTTGTCTGTGTAATCAAATGTGATGATTATGGTTTATTTTGAACAATTTCCTTATTGATTTACAGAACAATTAGTTCAATGTGATACAAAATGACATTGATAAAAGGTTTGGGCCATATTGACTGACGGAGTTGACTCCTGTCGCCTCCTGCAGGTCTTCTGTGCTCGTCTCCTGGAGGAGGCGCGCTCTCGCTCCTCCTTCCCCTGCGACGTGGTTCAGGGAATCTTCTCCAACATCTGCTCCATCTACTGCTTCCACCAGCAGTTCCTCCTGCCGGCGCTGCAGAAACGCATGGAGGAGTGGTGAGGACCCTCTTCTCCTCCTCCTCCTCCTCCTCCTCCTCCTCCTCCTCCTCCTCCTCCTCCTCCTCCTCCTCCTCACCTCCTCTCCCCTGTGTGTCTGCAGGGAATCGAACCCTCGTATCGGGGACATCCTTCAGAAGCTGGCTCCCTTCCTGAAGATGTACGGAGAGTACGTGAAGAACTTTGACCGAGCCATGGAGCTGGTGAACATCTGGATGGAGAGATCAGCGCAGTTCAAGGCCATCGTGCAGGAGATCCAGGTGTGTGTGTGTGTGCGTGTGTGTGTTGATGTGTGTGTGAGTGGAGGTGTGTGTGTTGTGCAGAGGGAGGAGCGAATAAACATATGTTAAGTTAATAACTGGGCTGAAATTTGGTTATGTTACATTTGCTCCCCTTGGAAGACACATACATATTTAAAAATATGGGCATTATACTACAATATAAAGCAATGGATGTAAATAATAATATGCTGAAAATGGGATCAATGGTGTTAAAGAGTGTTAAAATGCAAAATGTTCATTTCATTTACATTTTTATTGGGCAAAAATGGTATGAAGTAAGATTATAGGTTGATCATGATTTTAAAGTTTAATAACAACTATTTGCTGATAAAATACTGGACGGATCCAGTGAGTAACACACGGCTAAGGGGATTTAATGAGGTGTGTGTGTGTGTGTTGATGTGTGTGTGGGCTGTGTGTGTTAACCTGTGTGTGTTGATGTGTGTGTGGGCTGTGTGTGTTAACCTGTGTGTGTGTGTGTGCAGAGGGAGGAGCGCTGTGGGAACCTGACTCTGCAGCATCACATGTTGGAGCCGGTCCAGAGGATCCCTCGCTACGAGCTGCTGCTCAAAGACTATATGCACCGCCTGCCGGAGGACGCCCCAGACCACCGGGACGCCCAGAGTACGTACAACACACACACACACACACTAACCAAGTCTTCACCCTAAAATTAATGATTCCCCCATGGGGACCTCCATTATGTCCCCATAAGGGAGGCGAGTCCCCACACGTGACTGTGTAAACAGATTTAGGTCCCCACAAGGATGGTAATGCTAGGACACACACACACACACACATACCATGTATACATCACTTCAGGGGACATTACATTGACTTACATGCATTTCCTGGAGACTTATCCTAACCTTAACCATAACCAACACATGCCTAACCCTAAAGGCCGCTACACACCCACCTGAGACCAAAGAACGCGTACCGAAGGCGTCCCGACTTTTACGTCAGCTTCGTCGCCTGCGTCGGCTGCGTCGGCTACGTCGCCCGCTACGCAGCCCGCTACGCAGCCCGCCTACGAACACACCGCAAATACTTCAGTCGACGAGTGGCAATAACTGTCCTTACCAGCAGGCAGCGGTAGTGTGAACAGCCAATCAGAGTGATTGCTTGGGCCGACTTTCTCTGACCTCCCTAATGATTCCCTCATGGGTACCTCCATTTTGTCCCCATAAGGCAGGCGAGTCCCCACACGTGACTGTGTAAACAGATTTAGGTCCCCACAAGTATAGTAATGCTAGGCCACACACACACACACACACACACACACACACACACACACACACACACACACACACACACACACACACACACACACACACACACACACACACACGCACACACGTTGATGTCCTTTTACCATCAAATTAGAGATACAGGGTCCTACGATTAAACATGTTCAACCACCAGTCAATTTTAAAATGAAATACAGAGTTTAGTCCCAAATCAAACGCTTGTTAAAGGCTGTTGTACACATCGTCTTCAGTGATTTTAATAGTACGTTAAAAGTGTGTTGACTTGCTTCCTGTCTTGAAATGTGTCCTTTTTGAAGTTGCAAATGGAGATGATTTTAGAACATTCAAGCGTTGATCTGACAATAAAGTACCGTCATATCTTATCAACAAGGACGCTTCTTATGTTCTGTGCAAACGTTAAGAGCTTTTTATAAACACTACACATTTTACATTTGACAGATAAATATTTTCATTTAACGAATACTGAGTTAATATCTGGGGTGAAAAATGTGTTACGTTACATTTGGAAGACATAAGAAGTACGTATTTAAAAATATAGTAAATAATAATACACTGAAAAAGGGAAGTATTGGTTAAGAGCGTTCAAATGCAAAAATTACAATTAATTTACATTTTTATTGGGCAGAAATGGTTTGAAATAAGAACATGTTGATATAGTTGATCATGATTTTTTAGGTTTAATAACAACTATTTGCTGATAAAATACTGGACGGATCCAGTGACTAAGAGACGGGATCATAATACAACTGTCTCTTTTCTGCGAGCTTTTTCAGAGTTCAGGCGTTTTTTTCTCATGAGGTTGTTTTTGCCTTTCTGCCGACGCACCTAATTTCTGAGTATGTGCTATAAAGGAGAGCAAATTGGCCATAACTGCAACCACTAATGCTCATGAATCCACACATTCATCCACACACACACACACACACACTTCTTCACACACCTCCATGCCAGATTTCAGCATCCTGGGGGTGAAAACTGTGACCGCCAAAGGGAGGGGAAATTCTTGTGGACCGACTGACAGAGCGAGCTAACACATGTAAAAAATATCCGAGAGCTGCACAGCTTCATCCAGGAATGTGTAAAAGTTAACAGAATAAAGTATAAAGTGTGTGTGTTTATGTCACTGATGTGAGCATGTGAACTTTCTTTTCTCAGAGTCTCTGGAGCTGATCGCCACCGCAGCAGAACACTCCAACGCCGCCATCAGGAAGATGGTGAGAGACACACACACACACACACACACACACACACACACACACACACACACACACACACACACACACACACACACACACACACACACACACACACACACACACACATAGTTTGTCATTATCTCGACCTCATCTTTAATTAAACTCTGATTACACTCATTAACTGTCAACTCACAGCTGCTGCTCCTTCATGTGGGTTTCACTCCGTCACATTTCTCATCACCAACTTCTCCTCTGGATCAGAGCTAAAGGCAGAGTGTTTTGAGGTGTGGTTCTATGGGGTTCTTCACCAAGTCAGTGTAATACTACCTGCAGTAGATGCAGTTTGGAGCAAAAGACAGGAGTACCAGCAGGAAGCTTTATACAATGTTTTGCTAACGGGATCTGAAGCCGTTTTCTACGCAGTTATACAGTCATTTGACCTCACAAAACATTGGAGTCACTCGTGTACTGCTGCTTTGATCCATTAGTTAGTTATTTTGTGACTTTTAAAAGGTTAGTTTACGTCAACAACAAGGCAGCACTAAACTCCTGTCAGATAAAAACGTTTTTTTTCAATGGAGTTTAGTGGTTTTGAAAAGAGCGTAGATAACGTCTGACAGCAAAGTAAAGTGGTGGAAATATTGTGTACATTTCAAATAAATATATTGATGTTTTGGTTATATTTCCACAGCAGTGCACTGTTTAGTTTTCTCCTGTGCACACTGACTGTGGCAGCTTTTGCTCAACAATGGGTTAAAAACTTGGAAAACTGAACCATCCATTTTCCTCCATATTCTTTTTATTTCTTTCTTCTTTGCTGCAAATGATCATACAAACAACTCGGGTTGCTTGCTTTCATCATTGATTTTTACAATGGACAAACTGAAAATAGTCAGCCTCACATATCACCTCATACCTGGTTCTGTTTCTGCCTCAGGAGCGGATGAGGAAGCTGCTGAAGGTGTACGAGCTGCTGGGAGGAGAAGAAGACATCGTTAACCCGACTAACGAGCTCATCAAAGAAGGACACATCCTCAAACTGTCCAACAAGAACGGCACCACGCAGGACCGATACCTCATCCTGGTACTTCCTATTTTACTAAACGCATCTTAGTGTTATTGCTATTCGACCAGACACTGATCTTAATATCATTTCTTACACATTTTACATTTATACTCGTGCGTATTTTTCTCAGGATTGTTTTGCAATATCTGAACAAAACTTTCCTTCAGTATAAGAAAAAGTTCTGTATTTTATTTTCTACTATCTTCTACTCTACCTGTACTTTAATACTATATTATTTGACTGTCTTGTCTCTGTGCAGTTTAACGACAGGTTGCTGTACTGCGTCCCGAAGCTGCGTCTGATTGGTCAGAAGTACGGCGTCCGTGCTCGCATCGATGTGGACGGGATGGAGGTGAGACACATCTTTAAGTTGATCGAACTCAGTGGAGCTCTGACGATAAACCTGAAGCTGATTTAACCTGTCTGTCTCTCTGTCTCTCTCTCTCTGTCTCTGTCTCTCTCTGTCTCTCTCTCTGTCTCTCTCTCTGTCTCTCTGTCTGTCTCTCTCTGTCTCTCTCTGTCTGTCTCTCTCTCTCTCTCTCTGTCTGTCTCTGTCTCTCTCTCTGTCTCTCTGTCTCTCTCTCTGTCTCTCTGTCTCTCTCTCTGTCTCTCTCTTTGTCTCTCTCTCTGTCTCTGTCTCTCTTTCTGTCTGTCTCTCTCTCTCTCTGTCCAGCTGAAAGAGACCAGCAGCGCTGCAGTACCTCGGACGTTCCTGGTTTCTGGAAAACAAAGATCTCTGGAGCTGCAGGCCAGGTACACACACACACACACACACACACACACACACACACACACGCACACGCACACGCACACACACGCACGCACACGCACGCACACGCACACACACAAAGAAAACTGAGAGAAAAGGCAGAACATTTCAAAACATCTGAGGTGACTGAGGTGGAAAAGGTGTATCAATAAAAGCAAAATGTGACAAACCAATGGAAACAGATTCCCAAATAAGTTATGATGTACATGAAGCATGTGACTTCAAATAAAAATACACAGATCTGATGTAATATTCCTCACATTTATACATAAAACTAACACAAATGTCTGGTTTCAATGCAGTTTTCAGAATAGTTTTTCCCCATTTCAGGTTAGAGTAGCATCTTTTAATTACGTCACCTTGTTGGTCCCTCTTCTTCTGCGATGTTATTGGCGCCACCTACTGTTTATCAAGTAATGATCGCATAGTGGCAGTGGATGGAAACAAGCCAATTCTGCCAATCATTTTCCAAACTGCTTTTAGAGTTTGCAATATTCTGACAGCTTCTCTGTTTGTGTGTCTGCAGGACGGAGGAGGAGAAGAAAGACTGGATTCAGGTAAACACGTGAACTTCCTCTCAGCCTGTTGTCCGTGAAATATTGCCTGATCAAATGTTTCAAATTAAAAGCATCACAGAGACTTTTATTGTGAAACTTCTCCTCTGTGATCAGGCCATCCAGGCGACCATCCAGAGACACGAGCAGACGATGGAGAGCTTCAGACATCTCAACTGTTCTCTACGAGACGACGAGTCCACGCCGCCTCACTCCCCGGTAACACGCTCACTGACAAAACTACTGAATACTCAAAATAATAAAAACACATCTGACTTGGCTTTTTAATTAATCAATCACTTTGGCTCAGTTAATGGATACGGCATACATTTCCGAAAGTGTGATTTTCCTTTTAATTTAAAAAAAGTTGAAACTCAGCTCCTTGTAATATGTATATAATTGTGTGGACAAAATACAAACACAACCTTAAGGATACAAATTTCCACATTTAATCTCTTATAAACACAATTTTCGATCCAAAAACCTTTACAGCAAAACATCATGCATCCTATTATATCTAGAGCTATGATGTACGAATTTTTAAAATCAAACAGATGTTCAGAGTATCTTCACCTGCAGCAGGTAAATCAGTCAGGGTTGATTGTATTAAACTGACCTGAGATCTGTCCTCCTCAGAGCTGTGTGGAGCTGGGGAAGCGGGCTCCGACCCCCATCAGAGAGAAGGAGGTGACTCTGTGTATGAAATGTCAGGAGCCGTTCAACTCCATCACCAAGAGACGGCACCACTGCAAGGCCTGCGGACACGTGAGTCTACATCTGTTCAAATCTGTAATCTTTTCACAAATATTTACATTTTTTATAATTAATGACTGCACTGCAGAGCCTGCGGACACTTACATTATTCAATATTTACACATGTGTTAAGAGAACTGATAATTCATGAATATTTACATTTGTGTTAATTAACAACAACACTTTGAAGCCTGCGGACACGAAGGCTATTCAATATTTACATTTGTAATATAATCTGTTTTTATTAATAACGGCACTGCAGAGCCGACTGAGACGTACATTTACATTTGTGTTATAATCACAAATAATTCATTAATATTTACATCTGTAATAATGATTAACAATACTGACCGCGGACATGTATGTTATCCAATATTTATATTATAGGTCTACAATCACAAATAATTAGTACTAGTTATTTCACTGCAGTAAATGATCTGAACACTCCTGGACATTTGAGGAATTTTAAAGGGGCCCTATTATGCTTTGGGGGTTTTCCCTTACATCTTGTGTGTTGTATGGGTTTATGTGCATGTAAATGGTCTGCAAAGGCTAAAATGACCAAATTCAGATTTCTCTCCCCCCCACACCCTAACCCTGAAACGCCTCCATCGAACTCCTTTCTTTATTTCCAAGACACACTATGCACTCGTAATTATATTGGCTAGCGCTCCAACACATTGTACGTGATAGGCTAAGGGGCGGGACATCTCTAAGAGGTTGACCAATCACAACAGAGCCAGCCAGCTAACCAATCAGAGCAGACTGGTCTCTGGTTTCAGACAGAGGGTGAAAAGAGGTGCTGCAGCACAGGCAGTATGAGAAAAATAAAGAGCTTTTTGAACATTAAAGCATGGAGACATGTCCCAGAGACACTACACACTGATATACACCTGAACATCAGCAGGAGAGGACTCTTTAAAGTAGAGACACTACATACTGATATACACCTGAACATCAGCAGGAGAGGACTCTTTAAAGTAGAGACACTACATACTGATATACACCTGAACATCAGCAGGAGAGGACTCTTTAAAGTAGAGACACTACATACTGATATACACCTGAACATCAGCAGGAGAGGACTCTTTAAAGTAGAGACACTACATACTGATATACACCTGAACATCAGCAGGAGAGGACTCTTTAAAGTAGAGACACTACATACTGATATACACCTGAACATCAGCAGGAGAGGACCCTTTAAAGTAGAGACACTACATACTGATATACACCTGAACATCAGCAGGAGAGGACTCTTTAAAGTAGAGACACTACATACTGATATACACCTGAACATCAGCAGGAGAGGACTCTTTAAAGTAGAGACACTACATACTGATATACACCTGAACATCAGCAGGAGAGGACTCTTTAAAGTAGAGACACTACATACTGATATACACCTGAACATCAGCAGGAGAGGACTCTTTAAAGTAGAGACACTACATACTGATATACACCTGAACATCAGCAGGAGAGGACTCTTTAAAGTAGAGACACTACATACTGATATACACCTGAACATCAGCAGGAGAGGACTCTTTAAAGTAGAGACACTACATACTGATATACACCTGAACATCAGCAGGAGAGGACTCTTTAAAGTAGAGACACTACATACTGATATACACCTGAACATCAGCAGGAGAGGACCCTTTAAAGTAGAGACACTACATACTGATATACACCTGAACATCAGCAGGAGAGGACTCTTTAAAGTAGAGACACTACATACTGATATACACCTGAACATCAGCAGGAGAGGACTCTTTAAAGTAGAGACACTACATACTGATATACACCTGAACATCAGCAGGAGAGGACTCTTTAAAGTAGAGACACTACATACTGATATACACCTGAACATCAGCAGGAGAGGACTCTTTAAAGTAGAGACACTACATACTGATATACACCTGAACATCAGCAGGAGAGGACTCTTTAAAGTAGAGACACTACATACTGATATACACCTGAACATCAGCAGGAGAGGACTCTTTAAAGTAGAGACACTACATACTGAGATACACCTGAACATCAGCAGGAGAGGACTCTTTAAAGTAGAGACACTACATACTGAGATACACCTGAACATCAGCAGGAGAGGACTCTTTAAAGTAGAGACACTACATACTGAGATACACCTGAACATCAGCAGGAGAGGACTCTTTAAAGTAGAGACACTACATACTGATATACACCTGAACATCAGCAGGAGAGGACTCTTTAAAGTAGATACACTACATACTGAGATACACCTGAACATCAGCAGGAGAGGACTCTTTAAAGTAGATACACTACATACTGAGATACACCTGAACATCAGCAGGAGAGGACTCTTTAAAGTAGATACACTACATACTGATATACACCTGAACATCAGCAGGAGAGGACTCTTTAAAGTAGAGACACGACATACTGATATACACCTGAACATCAGCAGGAGAGGACTCTTTAAAGTAGAGACACTACATACTGATATACACCTGAACATCAGCAGGAGAGGACTCTTTAAAGTAGAGACACTACATACTGATATACACCTGAACATCAGCAGGAGAGGACTCTTTAAAGTAGAGACACTACATACTGATATACACCTGAACATCAGCAGGAGAGGACTCTTTAAAGTAGAGACACTACATACTGATATACACCTGAACATCAGCAGGAGAGGACTCTTTAAAGTAGAGACACTACATACTGATATACACCTGAACACCAGCAGGAGAGGACTCTTTAAAGTAGAGACACTACATACTGATATACACCTGAACATCAGCAGGAGAGGACTCTTTAAAGTAGAGACACTACATACTGATATACACCTGAACATCAGCAGGAGAGGACTCTTTAAAGTAGAGACACTACATACTGAGATACACCTGAACATCAGCAGGAGAGGACTCTTTAAAGTAGAGACACTACATACTGATATACACCTGAACATCAGCAGGAGAGGACTCTTTAAAGTAGATACACTACATACTGAGATACACCTGAACATCAGCAGGAGAGGACTCTTTAAAGTAGATACACTACATACTGAGATACACCTGAACATCAGCAGGAGAGGACTCTTTAAAGTAGATACACTACATACTGATATACACCTGAACATCAGCAGGAGAGGACTCTTTAAAGTAGAGACACGACATACTGATATACACCTGAACATCAGCAGGAGAGGACTCTTTAAAGTAGAGACACTACATACTGATATACACCTGAACATCAGCAGGAGAGGACTCTTTAAAGTAGAGACACTACATACTGATATACACCTGAACATCAGCAGGAGAGGACTCTTTAAAGTAGAGACACTACATACTGATATACACCTGAACATCAGCAGGAGAGGACTCTTTAAAGTAGAGACACTACATACTGATATACACCTGAACATCAGCAGGAGAGGACTCTTTAAAGTAGAGACACTACATACTGATATACACCTGAACATCAGCAGGAGAGGACTCTTTAAAGTAGAGACACTACATACTGATATACACCTGAACATCAGCAGGAGAGGGCCCCTTTAAGACTACAAACATCTGACTGACTGTTTTTTTGCCTCCAGGTGGTTTGTGGGAAATGTTCAGAGTTTCGTGCTCGCCTTTCGTACGACAACAACCGCACCAACCGTGTTTGCATCGACTGCCACGCCATGCTGGTGGGGGCGTCGCCATCGCCCGCCCTGCTGAGCAGCAGCAGCCAGAGGAGGCGCTCCATCCTGGAGGTCAGTGCAGAAAACTACTCAGAAAATATGATAATGGGAAATGTTTGTGTTGCAGCAGCATAAAAAGACATGGCATTGTACAATAACAATTTAAAGAAATAAACAAGAAAGTAGAAAATATACATGTTGAATTACAAATTTACAGTAACAAAATATAAAGCAAGTTATTATATATATATATATATATATATAAATTATCTGCTTGTTGAACATTTCCTCTCCTTCCTGCAGAAACACTGACCCTCTTTATATCTCTGTCCCTTGTTGCTATAGAAACAGGCCTCCTTGGCAGCGGAGCACAGTGTGATTTGTAGTTTTTTGCACCACATGGAGAAAGGGAGTGGGCGCGGCTGGCAGAAAGCCTGGTTCGTCGTCCCGGAGAACGAGCCGCTGGTGCTCTACATCTACGGAGCTCCACAGGTACCTTTAATATATATATAAAATATGTAATACACATACATATTATTTACAGAGATCTCCTGGTAAGCCGACGGTGCATTCAGGTGCTTCTTGGATGGTCCTATTTCCCAAATTGGGAAGTCTTTCTTCCAACTTTGGTTTCAGTTTCAGTTTTATAGGTCATGTGTATGTTCACACAGGGTCATGTTACGATAACAAAATGTTTGACTAGGGAAAGGATCTGCTCCGTAGCAAAGTCACAACTTGCTTTTACTAGATCACTAGAAGAATGAAAAAATGACAATAATAAGGAAAGACAGTAAAAAATTAAAGGTGGGGTAGGTAATTCACTTCAGAAACACTTTTTGTTATATTCCATGGAATGCTCTTAACATCCCGATAGCAATGAATACATGAAATGCTTTGACAATAAATACATAAAAAAATGTCATCTGTGGAAGCCGTAGCGCTGTAAAAAGCACGACCAATCATTTTATCCAGGCCGGCTAAAATAACTGGATGGCCTACCTGCCTGTCAGCCTTCCATCTGTGCACAAACTTATCTCGTGCCCTCATTGGTCATGTGCGCGTTCGTGTGTGTTGGAGGAGGGGCTCTGTAAGGAAGTCTGAAGGAAGGGGCAGATTTTTTTCGGCTGCGTACTTTCAAATTCTAGCGCACTCGAGCTGGTTTCTCCATTCTTACCTACCCTACCTTTAAGGTACCGGAGTTGTTTGATAAAATAAGTAGAGACATAAGTATACTGTATATACAAATATAAAATAATGAGCATTGTATGGGAAAGTAAGTGACAGTATTGCACAAATGTAATGAAGAAAGGCAAATAAATAAAGTTCAGCTAAAAAATGTAGTTTACGTTTTTTTTACCCGAGGGGGGGTTCATGTGAAAACTTATTCCGATATCACATGAATGCAGCACAAATGTCCTTTCTAGAAATGTGAACAAAAGTGAATATTACATTGAGGCTCAAAAATATGTAAAATTAAAGGCCGGGTCCCTGGCAGAATTTCATTTAGGTAATGAAAGTAAAAATTAAATCCACACAGTTTGGAAAGCAGCCTTTGTACCCATGATGCAATATGAACAGATAACTGACAGTATTGATCATATCTCCCCTCCAGGATGTGAAGGCGCAGCGCAGCGTTCCTCTGATTGGCTTCGAGGTCTCCCTCCCCGAGTCATGTGACCGCCTCGAGCGCCGCCACGCCTTCAAGATCTCCCAGAGTCACCTGACGCTGTTCTTCAGCGCCGACTGTGAGGAGCTGCAGCGACGGTGGATCGACGTCCTGCTGCGCGCCGGGAGGGGGGAGGAGCCTCAGGTGCATCGGCCAATCGTGGAGAGCGTGGAGGAGGAGGGGGAGGAGCTTGCGACCGTAGCAGAGGACGAGAACACGTGATTCTATTGGACGAGAGAAAAAAATGGCAACGATGATTAATATTGGTCCCTGTTGGAAACCATTACAAAACCAGTAGCTGATATTTACACACACACACACACACACTGCATGATGGCGTCTCTTCTTCTTCAACTTTTTTCGTGAGGCAGTGATGTGGGCGGAGCCTCTTCTCCCGCAGGAATCATGGGAACCACTGTGTTTTTCATCCCCTCAGTTTGGTCTCAAACACACAAAAAAAGAGTAAAGAGCTCTCTGATTGGATGGATTTCCTGGAACATGAAGCACATTCATCAGCTGCTGTTATAAACATTTTACCTTATGGTTTCCACTGATCCAGTGTTCAGAAGATCAACAGGTGTTAACTTAGTGGTTAAATCACGTTGTTTTTTCCACTTTAATACAGCAGCAACAACCATCAAGGAGTCACACAACACGTAGAGGGTTTTAATAACAAAACCGGCAGATCTAAAACTCCAGTTATTATTACTGATACGTTCTCTGTCAGTGCAAGAATATTCAATTATTTCAACAATTTTCAGTTTTCTGCACAGACCAGTAAAAAGTGATCTTGTATGAAGACACTAGATTTACAGAAGCTCGGAAACACAAAGCAGATCTGCAACATTAAGGGATTCAGATTGGACAAACTGAGACACTGGTGAATTCACAAAAACTGGATTGGAGCTTCTTTTAGTTTCATGAATTGTGCAGCATTAGCAACCTGTATTTGCGCCGTCCCAAGATCCGGTTCACAACAGATAATGCCCTAATTATGTTAAAATGCAAACACCCTTTGAGATTTGCAGCTTTAAACTACTATCCTTGTCTGTGAGTATAAATGTGCTTCAAGTAACACAAACTCTCTGAAGACACTAATAATTTCACTGTAACTGCGTGTGGCTGTTACCGCTAAACATTGTGATTTGGACTGTTTTTGCACGATGCTCAATTTAATGCCAAATCCCAGCAAATTCCCTGATTTAAAAACGTGCAAATACCACAGGAGAACGGAGAAGCAATTGTCTTGGAAGAGCAATTAGGAATGCATTTAACCTTTTGTTGGCGCTTTGAGAAATAAGCAGTTTCTTATTGTTATATTCATGCAGGTTTAGGGATTTGGCTGCAGAAGCTTTGCAATCCTTTTGTGAATGTTCCCCTGAGTGCAGTCCAGCTCAGTGTCCCTATGATTCACACTCATTTTGGACAATGCTGCACCTCCAGTTTTACATCCAACGCCAACGATGTAACTTCAACCACCGTCTGGTGCTTGTTGGCTCACAGATTTAGTAAAAAATTAGAAGTGTTAAAACATTATTGTTGGAAGTGAATCTGGTGTTTTGCAGAATCTTCCAATATCAGTGTTCAGATTGTTTCTGATATCAACAAGCAAACAGGTGTGTTACGACAAAAGCAGCAACCTTCATTAATCTGACCCGAGTGGAATGGATTAAACAAGCACATCAAAAAGCATTTCAGAGTCAAAATGGACAACAGATTTAAAATCCCAGCTGAGGGTTTAGGAGTGGATCTTCTACCAGACATGATGCAGCCACGAAGAAGAGATTAAAGAAGAGATTTTTCCCTGTTTTTAAAAGATATGTGTCAGCAGGAAGTTGATAGACTGTCAAAAGGAGGAAACGCTGTGAGATTTTTAAAAAACAAAAGAAGAAAAAGACTGATGTGTCCTCTTTAAATGAACTTAAAAGACTTTTGATTTTTTAACCCCAAAATTTGCCCCTGAAGATCAACTCCTGTATTTTGACTTTTAAACTTCACTGCTGCTGTCTGACAAATCCAAACCTGCCTATCGAATCACCTGTCCGGAGGTAAACTACATTTCCCAGCAGCCTTGGCTCCAAGTGGTGGACTCATTTTACCTGAAGCCTCTCTGCCTTCTGCTGGTGAAGTTCGGTACTGCAGATTTTTATAAAAATCACTGAGGTGGTTCATCGGGGTCCTCAAGAAATCGCCATGTTTTCAGATCACAAAAAAAAATCATGAAGCAGAGAAACAAGAATTTAAAGAGTCCAAAAACGTAAATATTTTGACTTCATTTATTCAGTTTTTCATTATTTTGTGCAAACCTTCGGAGACTGTGAACCACTATTTTCATTGTTAATAATTATGCCGATTATTTTCTCAATTAATATGGATTGTTTGGTCTATAATATGTCAGAAAATCCAAAATGATGTCTTTTATATGTTTTATTTTTCGTCAGTCCAAAGATATTCACCATTATATTAAATAAAATATAAAATATATAAGCTGATAACCACCATATTAAGAGAATCTGAAAACATTTGAAGACGTCACTTTGGAGACATATTCTATAGACCAGACAACCTATGATTAATTGAGAAGATAATTAAATAGCTGAAAATGAAAATGATTGTTAGATACAAGGCCTCTAAAGGACACTGGTGATCTCAGCCCCAGATGATGATGATGATGATGGTGGTGGTGAAGGTTTTTTTTTTTTAAAGATGGATGTATAAAGTTTGAAAAATAGTTTTTTTAAGATGGATACATGAAGAGGAACCAGGAACCAGCTGGACTGTACACCTTCATGTTGTCAGATGAACTCGGTGGTGTCTGTTTCCTGGATGTTGGGAATTAATCCAGCTATTAGACGGAGCCGAACTGAATCTACAAGAATAGACTTTAGTTGTTTTTATCATGTTCGCTTCCAGTGGTCCAGTATTTCTCTCTCTCTGTCTCTATAAACACCTTTTGGACAAAGTGTTTTGATAGTGAAAATATTATTAATATTATTATTGTTATTCTGATGCTATGATGAAGTGAACAGACTTCTTGTTGGATATTTCGGTGTTTATGAGTCTGGGTTGTGTTTGATGTTTGCTTGATGCAAGTTGATGCAAGAAGAAAACAAAGAGTAAAGATTTTGTAAATATAATTTATTCTCCTGTGACCTCCCCGGTCATGTGACTATGTAAAGGTTAAAGGTTAAAACTCGCCGTCCCTCAACACAGCCAGAGCCAATCAAACTGTTTGGGTTTCAGCTGCGGCCATGTTGGCTCCATCATTTAGACTAACGGCTAACAGGGTGAAGCTTAGAGAAACAATCAACATTTTAGTAAATCCTCTCAATCTTTGTATTTCAAATGAATATCAGGTTCTCCCTGCTACTAGTCTTGTTGCTAAGCTATGCTAAAGGTTTTCTCCTGCTTCTGGTCTTCGTGCCTATCTAGGCTATCACTTTCCCCCGCTTATAGTCTTTATGCTAAGCTAGGGTAAGAGTTTTCTCCTGTTTCTGGTGTTCGTGCTAAGCTAGGCTAGCACTTTTCCCCTGCTTCTTCTAAGCTTGGAAATTGTTTTGCTGAGCTAGGCTAGCATTTCCCTTCCTCCAAGTCTAAGCTAGGCTATCTGTTTCCCCCTGCTTCAAGTCTTTGGTGCTAAGCTAGCAGTTTTCCCCCTGCTTCAGGTCTTTGGTGCTAAGCTAGGCTAGCAGTTTGTCCAAGCCAGGCTAGCAGTTCCGCATTGCTACTAGTTTTTGTGCTAAACTAGACTATCCGTTTCCCCCTGCTTCTAGTATTTGTGCTAAGCTAGGCTAACCACATCCTGGACATGCAGAGATGAAACTGAAATGTTTTAAAAACTGGATTTCTAAAACCGTTGAACTCTTTCTTTACCTTCACAGCTCTGTCACTAACATGGTGCTCAGTGTGAACGTGGCTCTGGTTGTCGCAGTGTATTTTTAGCGTGTTTTTGGCGTGTAAAGCAGACTAAAGCAGTGGTGTGTTCTCTCCTCCCTCACGGGGAATGGAAGGAATTGGCCAGTAACTCAGCCTTAGTTCCCATCATCACCAGTTGTCTTCTTGATGTGATGAAAAATGTTTAAAAAATTCAATCTGAGTGACTCGTGTTGAGCAGTTGTTGATTATTTTTGTTTTATTTCCTTTCTGTTTTCAGATATTTTTGCAGACTGGTTCTGACCGGTTCTGACCAGTGTGTGTATGATACAATTGAACAGTGTGTTGTACCAGTCCAGTGTGCACTTTTCTCTTTATGTGCCAACATTCAGAACCATACAGTATTCAGTGAAGTTGTTGGCTAATATATCAGATTATGTTTTTTCAGTATTTCTACTTATTGTTACTTTGGGCTGGATACCAGTTTATAGCCAGTTGCAGTCTCATAAACCAGTTTGAGCCAGCTATAACTAGAGATGAACATTATTAAATGACTACACAGATTTTTTTAAAGGTGTGAAATCAACAGACTCCACAATGTAATTCCCGGCCAATTGACTCGCAGTGGGTTTCCAAATTCGGGATAACAGGCAGGGTTTTATAAGGAAATGCTTTCAGACCAATGGCCTTGTGAGAGATTGGCATGACTTTACTTTTACTTGTAGCCTACTACTCTAATGCTAAACTCATTTATGTGAGGTGTATAATTTCCCTACATTATATTGTTTACTTAGCTAACTTCTTAGACTTATTATCCAACCATATATATTGAACTTAAAAAAACTTGACCTCCGCATCTCTAGTTAAGACTGCCTGTAAACTGAGCCGGATAAAGTCTGTTTTATTTACTCGTTGGAGCCGGTAACGTTACCAAGTGCAGTAACTTGTAGTTTCGATAGCTGGTTAAAACCGGTTCTAGCTGGTTCTATCACATCAGAGCCGGTTCGGTCACACTGGACTGTCATCAGTATTTTGCCTTACAGTTTCTGAATTTGATTGAACTTTTTCTTGTGCCAAATCAGACGACTCGATCTGTTCAACAGTTACAGTCTGTAGTTTTGTATTTATTTGTCATTTTTAATCCAAACTGTTATACTTTGTTATTTTGTTTTTTCCAAGTTCCTGTCCTAATCCTGATATCCTCAGTGGTTTTTAGGATTACCTTTTTTAACTGTCTCCGATTCCCCCTCATCAGACGGTCACACAGTGTTATTATGGGCTGCTGTTACCATGGACTGCATCCGTGCTTTGACTTGCTGAGATTGAAGCTGAAAAATATATAACAAACCAAATAATGTTGATAAATGTAAACAGATTTATATAATACAGAGCTCTAAAACAGCCAATCAGAAAAGGACTGGGCAGTGATGTCATTTAGTTGAACTAAACCATGTTTTATCTCCTAACGCGTTACTATAGAGTGGTGCAGTGATGACGTATTTTTGTAGGCCAGACATAGAAGTTAGCATTGCATGGGTCGCTAGAAAAAAAGTAATGGAATTTTCCCCATTGGATTTCTGTATATCGCAGAAAATAAGCCTTGTGGCCAACACACGTTTATGATACTTAACGCGTTTTGTTCAGGGGGATAGCCTCCACATATTAACACCATTTTGTGATTTTTTTAAACATAAATGCAATTGGCAGAAATATGTGTGTATATATAGCTAATATAATGCTATAAACAAACTACTGCTTCTAACAACAAACACGTTAAAAAAAAACGTTGACTTCGAGACGAGGGAACAGGAAGTGATGAAATGTCCTTTTGCAGGTTTTAGGACTCATTACGGCACCACTCTTTATAAATGCGGAGTTCAACATTAAATCTCTCTCTCTCCGGGTGTAACAGCAGCATGGTGGTGTATTATTCTTCTTCCTGTTGTACTTCTGGTATCTTATTGTTATTATTGAGTATTGATTGATTGATTGATCGCAGGTTATTGGTTAGTGGCCGGCCACTGCCTTCCATCCTGTCTGTTTCCCCATCATGCCCTTATGTATGAGAAAATACAATGAGAAATGTTTATTATGAGGTTATAAATGAAATAAAAATATGAAAACTGACTACATGTCTGAAAGTTAATCTTATCATACAACCAATACTAGTACAAATATTTCTACTACTGCCTTTACTCCTCCTGCAACTATACTATTACTATTACTATTTCATTTTAAATACTTGATGTATCTACAGTATAAGCAACAGCACCATCCAAGACAATAATAAAAGAGCAATAGGCTAAATTAAAATAATATTTAAAGCAGGAGATATACACAGGGTTCGTACGGTGCTGGAAATCCTTGAAAATGCTTGAAATTTCATGTGGTGTTTTCAAGGTTTGAAAAGTGCTTGGATTTTGGATAAAGTGCTTGGATTTTGGATAAAGTACTTAACATTGCACTTGTTTTACTTTTATAATAAATTGCTGTCTGACTGAATAGTTAGCTTTTTTCGATAAAAAAAAGAGAAAGAAGTCGGAGCGAGCTTAATTACTTTTCATAAAAAGACAGCTCCACTCCTTTTATACATATTTTGATATTTGAATCCTTCTTTTTTTCAGTTGCAGATTTTCCGTTTTCAGATTCCAAACAATTATTTTTTCAGTTTCAAATCTTGTTTTTTCAGGTTTCACCGTTTTTTTCGCTTTCAAAACTTTTGGCCCTGATGTTGCTTGGGGGGGCGGGGCTTACCAAAGAGTAGTTTTGCATCCTGAGTGACAGCCCTCCCTCTGTCATGTTGCCTTCATGGATGTAAAAAAGGCCGCTGCACACCCACCTGAGACCAAAGAACGCGTACCGCCTACGAACACACCGCAAATACTTCAGTCGACGACTGGCGTTAGGCTTGTTTGAGACGAGCTGCGGCTCGCCTCGAAAGTCGACGAGAATAGCTGAGACTGATAGCTGAGAGCCCTGCTCTTTCCTTGTATGACCCCCAGTTGCCTACATTTGTTACTACTGATGCTTCTGATTATGGACTGGGAGCTGTACTCACCCAAATTCACTCTAATGAGACAGAGAGAATTGTAGCATTTGCATCCAGGACGCTTTCTCCTGCTGAAAGGAAGTACTCTACGGTTGAACGTGAAGCACTTGCATGTGTTTGGGCGGTGGAAAAGTGGAGAACCTATCTCTGGGGACATTCCTTTGTGCTACGTACAGACCACCAAGCCCTTACAACCCTGCTCACATCCAAGGGTGCTGGTCGAGCCGGTCTGCGCATCGCACGATGGTCAGCTCGACTACTCTGCTTCACTTATGATGTCACCTACCGTCCTGGGAAACAAAATGTGACAGCTGACTGCCTTTCCAGACTTCCGATGCCTACCACTACAGATTTCACTGAGGTACCGGACATGGTGGCTATGGTTTTAAAGAATCCTTGCATGCACTGTCTGTTCCAGAATACACCGCTGCCTGTGACACCTGCCCTGAACTGACACAACTGCGACGTCAAATACAAACAGGTTGGCGAAAATGCAGAAAGAATGTATCACCAAAACTTACTCCGTACTTTAATGTGCGAGATGAACTGGCCGTGGATAACTCACTTGTCATGAGAGGCATTGATCGCATGGTCGTTCCCACTTCACTACGTTCCAGAGTGGTGGAATTGGCTCATGAGGGACACCAAGGGATAGTGCGTACTAAGCAGAGACTGCGTGAGTTATATTGGTGGCCACAAATGGACAAATGTGTACGCTTCTATGATTGCTTCTTGTGTGTCATGCCAATACAGTGACAAAACAGCAAAGACTGCAACTGCACCACTTACACCTGTGGAGCTGCCAGATGGACCTTGGGAAAAGGTAGCTATTGACATATCAGGACCCTTTGAATGTGCTACATGGGACTGCCGCTATGCCATCGGCCTCACAGATTATTACAGTAAGTGGCCAGAGGAGGAATTTGTTTATTCTGTCACTACAGATGTCATCAATCGCTTCCTCACTTCAGTGTTCAGTCGTGAGGGAAATCCTACCTGGTCTCTGACAACGGATGTCAGTTTACCTCTCGTGCGTTTGCAACCTTTTTGAGAGAGAGAGATTATTTATTTGTATTTAATCGTTTATTTAGCAGAGACAATGCACAGTAATGAACACTTAAAACATTAAAATGTGTCAAGCGTAACAGTGTCAGATTTAGCTTTGAGCTAATTTCCATCCGCAGTCCCTCAAATAAAACATTTAAGAAAATTACA